TTTATAATTAATAATTTTTTAATAAAATTTATTTTTAGTAAAATTCATTTTAGCTTGAAAAAAATTTGTATTTTCACTAATATATCTCGAAAAAAAATTTATTATTAATAATTTTTTAATAAAATTTGTTATTAATAATATTTAAATAAAACTCCTTTTAGCTTGAAAAAAATTTGAATTTTCAATAAAATTTCTCAAAATAAAAAAAAATCTATAATTTATAGTTTTTTAATAAAATTTATTTTAAATAATAATAAAATTTATTTTTAATATTTTTAAATAAAATTTTAAATAATTTTTAAATAAAATTTATTTTTAATAAAACTCATTTAAGCTTGAAAAAATATTTGTATTTTCAATATAATTTCTCGAAAAAAATATAATTTTTGTTAATTCATTTCAGCTTGAAAAAAAATTTGTATTTTCAATAAAATTTCTCGAAAAAAAAATTATTTTAATATTTTGTCGGTTTTAGTTAAATATTGAACAGATTCGTATATAATATATATTCTGAAGAGCTTCGCAATAAATTTGAGACACATTTTGGCTTCTAAAGACAGTTTTCTTATCTATAGCTCTGTTGATGTTGAGATTTATTATGATGGAGAGAAATCAATTTTGATCTAATGTTCAGCTGATAATCAGATTTATGTTGAGTATTGGCGGTTTTCTCACATTTTTTCTATGAAGAAACTAGCTTTTCTGATGAATATTCAATTGCTTCGGCTAAATCGCGCATTCTGGTGGTGCTATGTGGAAAAATTACTCATTTATTAATTTTATTTAAAAAAAAAAAAAAATTCATGCTGGCAAATTTCTTCTGCGCTCGTTAAGTGTTTTATTGTCTGACTCAACTACTTTTACAGCACGCTCACGCATATGTCTGTATGTCTATATGTGAGCATGCATTTTCCGCCAACATTTTTCTTGCTTATATTTTACTGTTAATAAATCTGCTGATCTGACAATTGCATTACCTTTTGGTAAACGTGTTTTCACCTTCACACACTTCATTTATCGACAGTGAGAACGAAAAAAACAAATCGTGTTGCACACAAAGTATTGTACGTTGCCAATTGTACACTAAGGCAACAACAATTGTTGGCATTATTGCTTTTGGAACTCATTTACCTATATGCCTATTATTCGGCCAACATATGGTTGACACCGCAATGAGTTGGCGTCCTATTGTGCATTTCAAGGATACGCTTGCATGTGTGCGTGCACCTACGACAATAACGTAATACCTGAGGCAGACTGCACACAAAAAATAAGTGTCTACATATGTTCCAAAAAAAATATATACAAGTATATAAATGTCTATAAATTTGTTACACTATTAGGGGGTTGAAAATTCTGACTTGCGTCGGCATACGCGCGTCACTCACGTGTGACTTTCTCTTCAAAAAACTCCTTTTTGCTACGAAAATGTGTTGAAAACTTCTTAGAATTTAAGGTCTAATATTTAAGGTAAACATGCATTTAGTTGGCAGGGTCAACCCGTTGGAACATTTGTATGCGCTGTGTTGCGGTATAAGTAAACAATGAGTCAGTTGTTGTAAAATGTTAACAGAAAGTCATGATTAAACAGTTCTAATGCACAAAGCTTTAACAAAGCGAGTTAAATTATTTTTTTTTTGTTTTTTTCTGTGCTTTTGAGATAAAATATTTTTCTTATTACTATATGATTGCTTTACGCTGTATGCATATTACTATATAACGGCAATTTTTTGTAGTAGCGTAATTGTAAACAAAGAAAATATATTATATTACAAACAAATTTTTCACACACCAAATCAATATTGTATAACTCATTTAAATTTTAGTTCTTTTATTTAAATTATTAATCATCTGTCAAACGCGCACATCAAATTCTATTTTACAATTCATTCAAACACACACGGCTGCAATCCTTTGTTTGCATTTCACATATTTGTAGTATATGTATATATGCATATGTACAACTACATAAGTATATTTACATATGGTATGTATATATATATTTATATGTACGTATGTGTGTACGTGCCTGCACTCTTATTTCACTTATTTTCACCTAAATGTTGCTACCTTTTGTTTTCATATGCTTGCAGTGGATTTTTCTCTATTTCTTGTTGGATTCCCTATTTCAAGTTGCACACACACACATTTGTACATACTACATAATCGCACATTCATTTCCTTCCTTTTCTAATTCTGCTGACATTATTTCAACGGGCACACACAGCGCGCTTATGTTGTTGCTATTATTTTATGTTGCTTGAATACGTCATATAATATTTACTGTCATCGCTGTTGTTGTTTTTGTTGCTGTTGCTGTTGACGTTTTTGCTGCATTATTGAAAAGCTTCGGCCCGACCCGTTGCGGCGCGGCTTAGATGGCTAGATAAATAAATAGTAGTGTGTTCATTGAATATGCAGCATTGGTCGCTGCCGTGACATCAAAGTTAAGTAAATATATATGTGTGTGTGTTGAAATGCATGCAGTAAAAAGAAAAACTTATTGGTTTTGAGCAATGAGGTATATGGGACGTGCGCACCTATCCATCCAACTAGCTATCCATCTGCTATAAGGTATCCATATATACATATATGTGTGTATGTATATGTACATTTATATGTGTGCTTGTAGAAAAGCGCACTTTGGATTTGCCTGTTGGCTAGTCGATTGGTTTTCGCTGCGACGTCAGCAGTGTAGGCAGCGCCATGTGGTGTATGGCATTGTGTTTGTTATAGGAAACGTGAGCGCTGCCATATGTTTTGAGGCCACACGGGTGATTTGCTGGATTTTGTGTCGTTTATTTGCACATACAAATAAATTTGAATGAGTGTGAGATGGCGCAGCGAGAGACTTTTCTACCGTTACATATCAAGATAGAAATAGAGATTACAACAATTTCGTCCCGTTACTTTTTTTGGACAGCATTTGACCGAAAATTTCAAAGGTTTGTGACGTCATATACTATATTAATAAGAGAAAGAAACGGTATAGTTTTTCAATTTATGCTAATTGCTTGTTCGAATTGTCACTCGCTTAGTTTTGGTAGATCGACAGCTACTATATTAATATGTAGCGAGTAGTAGAACTTTTTATATGCTGTCACTGGTTATAATTTTTTATTTGTCTAGATATCTTCGCGAAATTTGGTATGAATAATTGCCCAAGGCAATGTTTTATTAAAAATTCATCACAATCGTGAAGTTTGGTCTTTGTAAGAACTCTGATTTTTTATCGGTAATACCAATGCATTTACTTTAAACCATTTCTCACGCGTCTTTAAATATTCTGGACAACAGCACTGTATATCAAGTTTGCGGTTGTATCTCGAAATAAGTCTGAGATTAATCCCGATTTTTAAAGAATCGACGTTAACTCATCTTATGTAACGAAAGCTTAAACATGTTCACCAAAATTGAAACATTTTACAGATCTCGGTAAACTAAACATATTACAAGTTTAACAAAATTACAAAGAACCACAAAACGCTTGTGAGCGACTTGTTGCAAGTGAGAATGCTGAAAAGCTTGTAAAGTCAGGCGTTTATTGACGTAGCTGGTTTTGTGTGGATATTGTAAAGTCATAAATTATTTCCCCGACTAATTTTCGAGAAATCTACGCTCATGATAGTTCTTGGAATCATTTAGAACATTTTATACCCTATTGAAACCGGTTAGTTATATGTAAATCTCGTAGGATCAGCAGTTGACGTAATATTAGCGGGCGCGAATCAATTACCATTTATTTCTAAAGAAGAAAATATAAGATGGAAAATCTTGTGACAGGTATGCTTTATAACCAGAGAACGTAAAATACAAAATATGATATACGTTCTCTGTTATAACTTTGTGAAAAGGATAGAAACAATTAAAAAAGAACGAATAATACTTAGTAAAAGAAGTGGCATCTATGCTTATCTGAATATTCTAAAACAATTTTATCATAACAATAGTTCGTTGGGACTAGTTATCTCCAATTACGAAATAAACGCAGCCTAAACTTTTCAAAAAAATATTTTTATTTGGAGATTTTTATAAAAAAAAAAATTTTTTTTTAATTAACTGAAAAATCCAATTAATTGAATGAAAATAGTATAAGGGTAAGAGATTTTCATTAATTTTGGTAAAAAAATTTTGAAACATTTTTCGAAAATTAGTTGAAAAATATTTAATAAAATTTCACTTAATTTTTGGTAAATATAAGATAATTTGATAAACAATTTTTAAAACATTTTTAATAATTTAATTGTAAAAGAAAAAAAATTAGAGAAATAAAGGAACTTATATGATTTTATATTACAATATATTGATATTTGTATTTACAAGTATTGTATGCAATTGTATGGGTATAATACCATTACTTTAAACGAAATATTAGTAAGTATTAAGGTAAACGAAAGGTTTCCCCACACTCACTTACGTTATCGTGTACAAATCTACGCACGTTACAATAAAAGTGCTGCCAAGTAACAGCAATTGCGTTAACACACCTCAAATTCTGCACAGCCAGCGATTTAGGCTGTAAACACACGATGTTTCAAAAAATGACAAGGTAAGAGTGGTGACTACAATTGACTTATGAGCACAGCAGCTGTGATATTTTATTGTTGCGAACGGCCCAATATATATATTTATATGTATTTATATATTACCTTGCCATTTTATGCTACTACATGAGCTGCCAGCTATTTTTATTTAATTTTTTGTTTTCTACCTCATTTCATCTTTGTTTTTGTGTTCTGGAACGTCGACGTAGGTAGCTACTGCGACTCACTAACTTCACTTTTTGTTTATTTCTACAAAATTTGTTGTTGTACGTGGACGTTTGCGACAGCCGCTACTTCGTGTGACTTGCTATGTCATACGGTTGCCACATATGTACAAATGACTTCGTTAGCGCTATTTAGTTTGCTATGTTATTATATTCGCTGTTGTTGTGCGCTGCTGACGTTCGCTGCATGCTGCGCTGCTCTGTCGCTAGCTTTGCGACTTGCTTTTGTTGCTGCTGTGGTGGAGCATTTTTGCTGGCTAGCGGAGCTCAAGTCGTTTAGTGCACGAACCAGCATAAATAAACGCAAAACAAACGAGCTAGTGAACGGACGTCGGCATAACGATTGCACGCGAGCGCAACAACGAACGATCAAGCAGTTAAGAAGCAAAAACGCATGCAAGCAACAAAGTAATATATAAACGAAACGACAGTGTGAGCGACGGCATTGCAGCGTTTTTTTATTGCATTAATATTATAATTTTTTTTACATTTTTGCTGCTTTTTTTTAAAGAAATGTGGTGTTAAAGTATATAAACTTAAATGAAATTAAATGCAATAATTTATTTATAGGCTTCGCTTAGCGTAGGAACAAAGAAACGCTATAAATTGCTGGATAATAGTAAAGAGGAAAATTGAGTGGCAACGAAGTTTTATTACATGTGCATATATTGTATATTTACATCCTTATATAAAAAATGTAAAAAACGAGTAACGATTTATAGCGAAAAAACCGAAAACAATAATAAAAAGCAAAAAAAAAATACAAAAATAAAAACAAAAAGCATAAACTAAACCATTAAAGCAATAATAAAAGTGCCTTAATTTTTGTGCATGTGCATTTATGATGATTAATAATATTTTTTTTACAAAAAGTGTTTTTCAATTTAATTGATTTTTGCATACAATTATACATGGTTTTACAACAATAGCAGCAAAGTTTAATTAAAAACAATAACTAAAGTGCAAAAAAAGGCAATAAAAAGCAGTTAACAACAACAGCTGTTGGCGAAAAATCAATGCAAATAGCAGGAGCAGCAGTTAACGGCGCAACAACAACAATAGCAAAAACACTGCATTAAAGTGACAGCAGTAGTGCAGCGACCGTGGTTGCGACGTCGTCAAGCGTTGCTTATTCGTTTTTATAGCTGTAAGTACGACGAATGCCGGTTGCAGAAAAGGCAGGCATACAGAATACAAGAATAAAAGCACCAGAAAAACATTACAAGTAAACATAGAAGAAAAAAATATAATTCAAAAAATTGCTACAGAAAAAGTATTTGCGTTATCGTTACACTCTAGCTGCATTTAATACAGATTCTGCAGCCATTTTACTTTATTTACACGCTTTTAACGCTTATTTTACCCGCTTGTTTGCATTTTGTGTAAGTGTGACATTCAGTCGGCGAGAATAATTAAAAAGTAAATTAAAAATGAAATAGGCACATAGCAATAAAATCAAATGGCACAGGCCGCTTGCCTGGTCGGCTCGTGGCCGGGGCTGTTTGGCTAAAGCTAAGTTAAGCTGGCGGCAGCATGCAGCATAGTCGCCGCCGTTGTTGTCGTTGGCTGTTCGTTACCCCAAAAGCGGCGACATACATAAATTAAAAAAAAAAAAACGAAATAAACTGTAATGAAAATGGCAGAAGAACGCGCATTCACTTATGCTGACAAGCAGACTTACGTGTACGAAAAACACTGGCTTCTGGCGTTGTTGGTAGCCAGCCTTGTTTGCAAGTGCTTTTCGGACGTTGTCAGTAGTGTGGCAATGAAGTGGCGCGTTGCCAGAGCTTTTGGTGGTGTTAAATGCCAGAGAAGATAACCTCTTTCAAAGGTTTTCACGACACTTGTATGGCGGCGAAATAACGGTCAGTTTGTATGCTAGCTACATACATACATATATGCTATAGTGGTCCGATCTGAATAATATGTATATTCGAAGATTGTAGCGCCCCACTCGACAATAATCTATTAATTATTATAATCTATCATACGACAGTTGGGCCAAAGTAACCGGAACGGACCCGGATTTTTATACAACCAAGAACTGTCAACTCGGCACCATTCCTCGAAATTACTTCAGGAATGTTTTTTGATGCTACAACAACAACAATTATAATCTGCAAAATTTGTAGACTAATATTTAAAGATAGACTACTATAACCTATTTTCTACACTTGCTAAATGGCTTTCTAAAAAATTCACTGAATACAGTGAAGATGTATTTTATCTAAAATCTATGATGATTGAAAATATAATATATCAAATGAAACTGTAACGCTTCATGTAATTGTAGCGATTATGGTAGTCTTCTTGATGTTCTTTTCAAGATACCTAAAGACGTCGACGTCTTATATAATATTATGTTGAGGTATTTTGGCTTCGTGCTTTATAGAGCGAATTGTTTATAGGTATATACATATAAATATGTGGTTTACAATCAGCCAGACTGCTTATATAGGCATTCTACTAAAATTGATATTTGAGTTTCGGGCGTCTATTTTATTTTTTAGCAACAAATTTATACCAGTTGGCTGTTCTTTTCCTCTCACCACTGACTGACACTAGCTTAAGTTCTAGAAGACGTGCCTTACATTACTTATGTATTTACTACATATGTACATATGTATCGTTTTTTTAATCAAACATACTTCATTTTTTCATTTTCTTCGCACGCAACAAAAAACATAAGCAAATAAATATCTTGCACAACTGTCGATTTTTAATAAATTTTTGCGTCCATTTTTTCTTAATTAAATTTTTTATTTCCTGCTGCCTTGCAAATTAAATGCCTGAAGTGCGCTTCATGGTCATTGCTTCGTACCCTGAGTGTATTAAGTTTACCACGAAATTTATAACATGTCCGTCTGCCTGTCTCTCTCTTTTTGTATACATGCGTATTTTTTCCTTGTTTTCGGGTTATCGATTTGTAATTCTGCACACGTGCTTTTCTCTCCAAAAAGCTGCTAATATGTCAAAACCGCCAATAACGGACCCTTATAGCATATAGTTGCCATACAAACTGAACGACCAACATCTACTTAAAGATCTTTTTATGTTTTTTTTTGTTCAAAGAAATGCGCCTGAGAAGGGTATTATAGCATTTATATTTTTTTATTTTTCTGCTTTAAAATTTTTTTTTTGGTTTTATTTTGCTTCATTTGAATTTTTTTGTAATTTTTTGTAATTATCCACACAGTTTTTTAACGCTTACGCTGCTCTATTTTATTTGCATTATTTTTCGTTTACAACTTTTTTGCTGGTTTGCATTTTAGTTTTGCTGCCGCTTTATTTGTTGCCTTATGTTGTTTGTGTATTTTTGTTTTGGTTTAATTTAAAAATTCATGTGCTGCACTATTTCACCGATTGTTGTTTTCGGTTGAATTTGCTTTGGTTCCGTCGACAGTTTGTGTCCGTGTTCACTACTAAGTAAACGGTGATTTTATATTTATTTGCCTGTTGCGTTATTTTTGGGCCAAAAATGCGGGATAAATGTGTATTTGTTTTTGGTTGGCTTACAGTAAATGAGAAAATTCTCATTAATTTGCTTGCGCACGTTCGTCAAATATTTGCGCAGCAGCAGCGTCGGCGTCGGCGCCGGCGCGTACATCAGCCATTCACACCAGCCCATTAGCAGTGAAGTCAATAGGAGCGAAATAGTCCAGCCGAACTAAGTCAGCCAACCATCTCCAGACATTCAACCAGGCCGGGCAGTCAGTCATTCATACAAACAAACAAACCTACAAACATATGTACACGTGGGCAACCATTTTGGTGTCGGCAAGTCAGTCAATTTGTCAGTGCGTCAGCGAGTCGTCGTCGCTTTTTGGTGCTAAAAGTATTTATGCATGTTTAAAATGCTGACCGCCTTACAGCTGACGAACGCCTTCGCATAAAATCATCAGTAGCCCACTCTTTTAATACCCTGAATAGGGTATGTTATATTAGTTATTTTGAGATAACGGTCTGAAATTTTGCACCTATCTTTTTTTTCACAAAAAGCTGCTCATCTGTCGAAACCGCCGATATCGGACCACTATAGCATATAGCTGTCTTAAAAACTGAACCATCAAAATCAAGTTCTTCTATGGAAAACTTTTTTATCTGACAAAATATTTTCACGAAATTTAGCATAGATTTTTACGCAAGCCAACGCTACAAACTCGGTATATATTGTTCAGATCGGGCCACTATAGCATATGGCTACCATACAAACTGAACGATCAAAACTAAGTCGTTGTATGTAAAACTTTTTTATTTGACAAGATATCCTCACGAAATTTGGTGCAAAATTTTTTCGAAGGCAACACTATAATCTCCGAACAAATTGTCCAGCTTGCAGCACTATAGCATATAGCTGCCATACAAGATGTTCGATCAAAATCAAGTTCTTGCATGGAAACAATTTTATTTGTGAAGGGTATTATAGCTGCGGTGCAGCCGATGCTAATGTTTTTTTTCTAGTTTTAATTTCTTTTAATTACATTACATTAACTGCTACAACAACAATAGCAAGTGGCGTAAACAAGCAGTGGCAGCACATACCATTCACCCTTTATTCCATACAAACATACTTATATATGTACATATGTGCATACATACATATATACATACAGTTTCATTACTTTACTGCTCCACCAGCCGCTCCGCACCGCGCGCCTGCCGCCGGTAGCCGCGCGCTCTTCCGCATTGCTTGTCGCACATTTGCCGGTCGATCGCCTTACATATTTGGCTTTCCCAGCTGCCAGTTACATACATATGTACAAATGTAGTATATGCTTTACAGCTTCTACATCGCCATTGTGATTTCTACACACAACACACACACACACACAATCATATTATGCTATCCGCTCCCTCGAGCGCCAAGCTTTTAGCAGTGAAATAGTTACTATGGCACTGTTACGCTATGTTTGTGCCATGCTTCTTGTTATTGTTGTTGTTTTCTATAGTTTTTGTTTTAGAGCAGTCGCCATGATCTGCTTTATATTCTGCGCCCCATATGCGTGCCTTACACACTCCTCTCCCGCCAGTTATCAGCAGTTCACGATCCATACCGCAGCAAGCAGCGCACATGCATACATACGTATGTATGTACAAGCATATATAAGTATATATGCATGTAAATGCCCTCATAAAAGATTTTCTGCTCCGCATTCGTACACTTTTTCAGCTTGCTCCTTTTCTTCAAATTGCCTTTTATATTTCTTGCGGCTTTTCAGTTTCATTCGTCTGCTGGCTTTTTACATCTATTGTTGTTGTTGTAATTCTAGGCTGCTGTAAATATTTTATTGTCGCTGTCAGCCGCGAGCGTCCATTTCCGTTTTGCATTTGGTTGGCAGCGCTGGCGCAAGCGCAAGAGCGTATGAGTTTTGTGTGTGTGCGTGTGAGCGAGCGAGACATGAGCGCGCGAGAAGTAAGCTGTAGTGTTTTATATTGAAATACTAGATAGTTGATCTTACAAAATACACAACAATAAAAAATATGAAAATTTTGATGAATAACTAGTCGGCAATTATGCACTATGCAACCCCCGTCCCCCCGCCATAAACTCATATGTGGCGTTGCATTAGAAAAAACGAGCGTCGTCGCTATGCTCAGAGATTATTTTGTTACTTGTCAGTGCTCCCCGCGCGTCTGTTCGTTGTAACTTATAGCATTTCCCGTGGAATTTTTGCAGTTGTTGTAATACTTTGGCGCTGCTGCCATTGCCGTTCGTCACGTTCAATTAGTCTATTTCGTAAATATGTATATATTTCTGTGTATGTGTGTAGCGTGTTTTTGTAATTCATTTCCCTTTAAATTGTTGCTAAATGAGATTTATTACTAAATTGCTTTTGTAGGGCTAAAACGCTTTCTGATTTCACAAACACACATACATCTATAAAGATATATACATGCATACATATGTATGTGCATAGTTTTCAAGCTAATCGCAAACGCTTTCAAATGTACACTGTGCTCTAAACACGTACGTTCGCGGAAGTCAACATAATCGTTCTAGAATGTTTCGAGATGTTTACGAGTATGCGTATAAAATTCCACCTTTCGCTTTTATTGTTATCCGAAAGTTGCAGTCGTTGCAGCAACACGAATACCTGCGCTGATATTAAAGCGTTCCCTGCTCTTGAATAAAATTGTATATCTAATTTTGAACATCAATACAAACATCAAATGGTTCGAAAATTTTAGTGAAAATATGATTTTTGAGAATTTCAAAAAATATATTTCTGAAAAATTCAAAACAATTTTTATTTTTTGAATAATTCAAAACAATTTTTATTTTTTGAATAATTCAAAACAATTTTTATTTTTTGAAAAATTTAAAACAATTTTTGTTTATTTAAAAATTCAAAACTATTTATTTTAATGCTAATTATTTTCAAAAATTCAAAACAAATTTTTTTTGGAAAATTCAAAACAACATTTTTAAATGGGCAATAAAAAAAAATATTTTAAAAAGTTCAAAGCTATTTACAAAATTCAAAACTATTTTTCGAAAAATTTATAGCAATATATTTAAATTTCTAATTTGGAAGTTCTAAAAAAAAATATTTTTAAGCAATTCAAATGCAGATAATACGTAAATATTTATGTCAGCAAAAAATCTATTTAAAATTTGTATAAACTTATAATGAACACTAGAAGCTTGGAAGCCTGGTTTTCGAAACTACAATTTCTGAACACCAAGAACTTAAAGCTTCAATTGAAACTACTGTTAATTTCTTCGTTCAAAATTAGTTATTAATAATTTTTAAAATGAGGTTAGGTTATGTCGGTAGAATGAGAAATTCGCCACAATGAGCAGAAAGCAAGTTTTCTGTGCTCTGGAGTGAGCACTGAACACATATACGTACTTAAGTAGGTACTTGTGATAACCTAATGACCAACCGACATCAATAGCATAACTTTAAAATATTGGAAAATGTTTCATGAGAGTAGTTAAAAGCTTATGAACGAAGTCTAATAAACAAATTTATGTTGTATGTATCTATGAAAAAATAAAAACTCGAAAATAAAAGCTAAGTGAGTCGAGCAATGTAGAGTAAGTATTTCATTTTTAGAAATCAAATTTTAGTTAATAAAGTTACACGAACAGTATTGTCTTCAAATTAGTGCGTCTATAAAAGCTAAGAAAATAACGGTTAGTTGCAATTAACTATTGCATTCTCAGAGCAAATTGTGTATAAAATATTGTAGAGAAATAATGAGAATGAGAGAGAGAATGTTAAAGGGCATCTTAAGTGATCACTAACCATAAAAATTTCGCAAAAAGTTTCGGTTCCATTTTAGAGACTCTTTCGTTTCTACGATAGAATGTTTTACCTAACCGAAGGGCACTATATTTCCTGTTCCAATGCCACAGCAGTATTCCTCGAACCATGTTTTAATCCACTACATTAATATCTTTGCTATATAAAATGGAACTAATAGCTTGCAACTATAGTAAGCGGTACTGTTCTTCGACAAAGCACGAAAAATGTATCAAAATCATTTTCTTCAAGAATTTAAACTAAATAGCTGCAATACCAAACGATTTGGATGGCAACAGTACTTCATTGGTTTACTTGGCTTTTAATGTATCCCGGTAGCTTTTATGAGAAACTTTCATTGCATACAAATATAACTATAGATATAAAAAGAAGATGAAGAAAAAGCATATACCAGAAAAAATGTTTATTTTTTTATGTGTAAGCTCTTTACAATTTCAACAACATAACCTCAAACAAACAAAAAAATCATTGATCTTAATCGCAACTGCCAACGAAATGAATGCTTTATTTTCAAGTCGTTTACGCACGAACTTAATTGCTTATCATCCCCATAGCATATGTGGTAGTCTATTAAAATTTCCCCCAAGACCAAAAAAAATAAAAACCAAAAACAAAAACAAAACGAACACGATCTTCACGGCGTGACTAGCTATTTCCGTCGCCCACAACAAGCATGGTAACGTTGCGCGTACATCACGATCAACAAAAACGATAAACGATTCGTTCAAAATTGATATGCGCCGATCAACCCCGATTAATGCAAAGTATAAGTATTAATGACTGCTTGAAATTTAAGTGTGGCTACATGGCTTGTTTTAGGTGGAGCAACAAAAAAATTTAAGCAAATTACAAAAACCAAAAAAAATAATAAATAAAATAAAATAAAAGAAAATAATATAAAATAAAATTAAATTTAAAAAAATTTAAAAAAAAGACAAAGACAAATGTACGTGATCGTGTCAGGGTTGCTGTCGCAAGAAGGACTCACAATTTAAATAGCGGCGCGGCAGATGTTATGCGCAGCAGAAATCTTTAGCAACAGCAATAATTGACTGCTGCTTGATTAATGCATGATATATGTAGTAGGTGTTGTTGTTGTTGTTGCTTTTTTTGTTATATTATTTTTTGAGAAAAACTACTTAAGCATGCAGGAAGGGGTGTCTACGCCGCACTATTCGTTGCTGCTGCGACGTCCGTTTACTTTACTCTGCGTCCAGCTGTCAGATGCTGGCGCAGATTAAGTGCGCGCGTGCAAAATACACCAGGCTCGTGTCGAAATTTAAACAAAAGGACGCAGCAATAACAACAACACCACGTAAGATTAAAAATTGTAAAAAATTTACAAGAAATCACAAAAGCGGCCAGCAAGACAAATGCAGCTGTGTTTGCCACGGCGCAGCTGGCGTCTACATTTCAAGCGTACTTGCACCTGCAACACGTAGCACTTGAGCGCTGTGACTGTGTTGGTGGCGTGGCAGCTGTTTTGTGTGCCCATATGCCGGCCAGGACAAAAGTATGAAAATTATAGGGGCTGAAGACGCACAGTGAAGACTACGCTAATGATCAGACAGCGTATTGTGGGATCGAGATAAGCGTGCAAAAGGGCTGTAGCAATGCGTGAGTGGCAATCGGAAATTTAAAACCAAGAACCAATTTTTATAATTTTTTATTTCCGAAAATCCAAAAATGAAACAGAAGCTGCACTGCAAGCGAGCGCTTAAAACATAATAAGCACATTTTAAGGGTTGCTTATACAAAAAAATAAAAGAGAAAACGTCAAGCATCGGCTGTAGCGAAGCTAAAATACCCTACACATGTGCATTACTCATAAAAGTGTATAAAAATATTTTTTTTTGAACTGTCATTTTGTATGGCAGCTATATGCTATAGTGGCACGATCTGAACAATATATTCGGAGTTTGTAGTGTTACCATGGAAAATAATATACAAGCAAATTTCGTGAAGATATTTTGGCAAATGAAAAGGTTTTCCATACAAGAACTGGATTATGATCGTTCAGTTTGTATGTCAGCTATATGCTATAGTGCTCCGATATTGGTGCTTGCGCCAAATGAGCAGCTTTTTGGAGAGAAAAGTACGTTTGCAAAATTTCAGGTTAATATCTCGAAAACTGAGACACTAATTCGCGTATATACAGACAGACGGACAGAGAGGTGGACATGACTAAATCGACTCAGCTTATCACGCTGATTATTTATATATAGAAACATATTTTATAAGGTCTCCGAAATTTACTTCTGTGTGTTAAAAGTTTTTTGGCAAATTTACTATATACTGTTCAGGGTATAAGAAAAAAATTTGGGTTGGCGCAGCGCCTAAAAGTTGGCACATGCGTTGCGGCACGGCAAATATGTATGTACTTTTCAGAAATTAATGTGTACAGATGCGCGCTGCAAATACAGGGTACACAGCAGCACTTTAACTTGTTGCTTGTTTGTCGCGTTGCCTGCTGCGTTTTTAATTTAGGGCACAGCGCTTGCCACAAAAGGCAAGAAGCAATAAAACTAACAAACTCAGCACTTGCAAACAAAAAAAAAAAATTATACAAATAACAAAAACAAACAGCAGCGTTTGCTACACTGTACACACAAAGCCAAAAACAAAAGCAACTAAAAAAAACAAAAAATTGACAAAATTATGGGTTGCACATAAAAATACAGAAATTGGTGCTAGCAATTGAGCGCACAGACATGTGAAACTATCGAAAATTTAACAGCGCAACAGTAGCCAGCAAAAGTCACCCCTCATGCCAAAAGTTAGACTAATGATGTCGCTACTCGCACGCTTCCTACGCTATACAACGCACTTTCCAGCTACTTCACTTGAATTTACTCCACTTTCGCGTGTATGCTTTCTCACGCAGCGCTGACTTATGCTTGCAACCCAAGCGTTGGTTTACTTTGTAGTTGTTGGCCGCGCCGCTACAAGTCAATTGAATAATTGTGGGTCAATAACCCCAAAGCGACTGCCAAGTGACGTACAGACTGGACGCAAATTTCAGCAAAGGATGAGGTTATCTCTTGTTTTTGCTGAAGAAAGTACTAAAGAAGGAGCCATCAAGTTAATTTGTGCGTTTAAATTCAATTCAATCATACAGTAGTGCACATAACACTGTATAAGTGGTTCCGTTATCTATCCATACAAATTACTAAATTCTTTATTTCCGTTTAATAATGGTAATGTTACGCTTGGTGCTTTATTTTACCGCGCAATACGAAGTCCACAGATTTAAAGACATTTTCAAGCAGCTTTCAGAGCTTTGACTTTACCGCTGAGGTTGCAAGAAATAACAGCGAGAATTGTGTGAACCAACTTGTGGAAGTGTGTCGAGAAAACTTCGAGTCATTTGCTTTCGAAATGGAGGTGACAGTTCTAAATTACTAAAGTGTGTATAGTAGATGTTATCAAGCAGCTTTCAGAGATTCCCTCGGAGCTTTTGACTGTAGCTCTTAGGTCGCAATTTGGAGAAATTTGCGTCGAGAAAACTTCAAGTCATTTCGTTTTGTTAAGGAGTGAACAGCTCCGATATTCTATAGTGTGTGACTGGAGTTTTCGAGTTATAACTACAGTAATTTTGACAAATCCATGGCGGATCTTTGACCAATTACGAGCTTAATATAATAGCTTTTGAAAAAGTTCTGTTAGAGGTTATTTCTTGTTCGATAAAGAGCGGTTCTTAGAAGGTTCGAACCGCCTTCGAACGGCTGCTATAAAATACTTGTACAATCAGAAGCTTGAGATTTTCAGCTGAGGAGCAATAGCTACTAAAACCTCAACAATTTATAATTTTAGATTTTGTATCGGTCGAGATTTACAATCTTGAAACAACGCATTGCAAGAGAGGCAACTCATATAAACTTTGATGTTATTGCAATTATTTTCAAGCGCCTATAATATGAGTGATCGAACACTGGAAAATGATAAAAATATTGTTCGATCTTTTTTTCAATATTATATCAATATTTTGATTATTTTATTTTCGCTTGTAATTAATTAAGTTATCAAAAAGCAACAGCAATTCTGTTCTGCAATGATACTTTATCAAACTATTCGAATTGCTTTAAGACAAATTTAACCTACTTTTAAATTACTCAGCTCAATAAAAGGCTCTACAATTACACTTTTTACACAATACGTTAAACAACTGCGTCTAATCACCGCTACACACAAATATCTATCACAACAAATAAAGATAAAGAAATTTTTGAAAAACTAGTCATAAAATAGTTGTCGCAACATACGCACAACAACAAAACCAAGTAATTGTAACAAATTATTTTTGGTCGGTGATGCATTTTCAATTCCATGAAAACTAGCAAGCTACAGTAAATAGCATATAAAATAATTGAAAGCAAGAAAGAAAACTAGTTGCACTTATATTTCCACCACCATTTTTACACACCACTTGGATTATGTATACAAAAAAAGAAAATAAAAGAAAATAGTAAAGAAGCACAGGTGACTCATCGAAAGAGTATGTTTGTGCATTTGAGATGAGCAGCACCGCCACTTACAAATTTATAGACATTAATGCGAAGTTACCTGTTTTTTATCGTTTTACTAAATCTCAATTTTATTATTGTGTGGCATGAGATGAATTCGATTCTGACGCACAAAAAATAAATGCTCAGCACACACATAAAGGTCAAACCAAAGGTAACAAGAATATGCGTGTCGAACATGTATCAGTAGTTGTTAGTGCATTGCTTACATGGCAGTGTCAAAGTGCGTGCATGACAATATACGTAAATATAATGGCTGTGTTCAGTGAGCACAATGCCTGCAGGTGATGAGAACGTGTTTTGGGTTATAGTTGCTTGTGATGAGTGCAGCATTAAGATAAAGTTGCTTGTTGAGGATTAACGTTTATGCTTGAACGTGTTGGAAAATGGTGAGAATGATTTGTTTTGAGTAATTAAGTGAGGTGTTGAGCAAATTAGTGTGGATAATCAGGCAATTATAAAAAATAATACTAATGGAACTAAAATGAGGAAATTATGAGAAATAAAAGCATAATTAGAAAAATAATATTAATAATAATAATAAAATAATTACAAAGAAAATTAAAAGACAATAAAAAAAATTTAATTTAAAAATAAAATTAAAAGATAATAAAGCTTTTAAGGTATAAAATATTAAATATTAAAAAGTATAATAAAATATAGCAAGTTTATTAAAATTAAAAGAAGTTAAAAAACCCGAAATAACTAAATATTTTAATAATTGAAAAAGTGCCATAAAGAAAAATTAAAATAATTTAAAAAAAAGATGAAAAAGTATATATAAAAAAATTATTATTAGGTAAAATAAAATATAGCAAATTTAATCAAATAAAAAAAAATTAGAAAAACAAATACGAAATAAATATTAATTTAATTTAAAAGTTATATTTACATTAGTAAAAAAAAAATAATTGAGCACATCGGGTAAATTTCAGACATAAAAAATTTTACTCCAAACAAGTTATATAGAGTAGAATAGCAGATAATATAAATAAAGAAGGTTAAATTGCAGAAAAGATTGCACTCTCTATAATAAAAATAATACAATAAAAATTAACATAGTACATATATTAAAAAAGTATTACTTTGAAAAAAAAAACAAATGATTTTTTCACTATACCTAATATTATTGTAACAAGTTTTTTCTACACAAAAAAATAATAACGTTAATTAATTTATTTTCTCTTGCACTTAATTGATCTTAAAACTCATTAAATCAACGCTCACCTTCAATCAAATCGTACATTTAGTTATGCTACAACTTTAATGACAGAGTTTGAAGCCTTCAAAATATATATATAAAAAAAAAAATTCACAATAATATCTAATGTCAATCAGTTTGATAACCCAGTAAAATTCAATGAAAACTAATTTTTTGCACGCAATATTGCTTCACAATTCAATGCAAGCATTAGAAAAAGAAGCCGCCACGAAGGACATTGCAAATGTAGAACAACAATCACAACTTAATGAATTTGCCGATATACAAAATAAACAAACAAGAAGTCGCAATGAAACACATAAATATTGAAACAGCCTTGACCATACATACAAAAGTACGATGCATAGATAGCGTATTACTTAGTACGCGCTGCCGATTTCACTTCAAGCATGAAATGAGACAATTACTACATATATTTATATATGTATGTATGTATGTATATATAGTTTATCGTTTTTATCGTTTCATACTGTCTCCATTTGCTATGATGTCAACCGCAACGCGACAATATTCGTATCTTTGCCCAACACTTGCCCTCAGCGGCAGCACACATGCAACACTGGCTACTAACTGTTTACTAACTTAAATGCACACAAGTATATACCTAAATGGATACTAAGTGCTTAGTTAGTTTGTTAATCCCGCTTGTTATAGTATAAATAAAACATAAAACTAGGTTAGGGAGTGGCACAACTTAATGTGCGTCAAAATAAAGGCAAAAACATTAAAAGAAACGGCACAGGAAGGAATTTTGCGCGTATGTTGGCGGAACAAAGTCTGCAATTATTTAATTAAGCGTAGAAAAATGGCATAATTATTGTTGAATAATAACGGAATTTTTTCAAATACATACATATATTGTGTAATATGCGCCGACAAAGCAAGTACCGAAGAGAGTATGGTGGAAGTGGGTAGTAAGAGCAAGTGTATCTAATGGAAGTTTGCTAGAAAAATTAAATTAAGCGCTTGGAAAACTAAAAATGTGGCACAAAATGTGTGCAATTTAATTAATGTAGCAATGTGTAGGAAAACAATATTTTTATTGTTCATGGCTGTTATAGTTTAAAATAATATTTTATGCGAATATCACGTAGAAATAACCGAGACTTTGCTTGCAATTTTTTTAAATAACTTACGTAATTTTTTATAATTTTTTTTATAAGCAATTTTATAACCTTACACAAGTATTATAAATATATATTTTTTTGCAATTTAAAACTTTTTACGCGTTTTATTTATTTATTTTTTTATTTATTGTATAAAATGGCAAATACATTTTTGTTTTTACAATTTAAAATTTAAAAATTTTATTTTTTTTACTACAATTATTAATTTTTGAGTTATATGTATTTAACATTTTTTTTGTTTTTTATTAATTTAAAGTATTTTTTTTACATTTATGTAATTATTTATAAATTTAAATATATTATTCAAAGCCATTGTATCAACAGTTGCATGTAAAAAAATATTTTCTACAAATTTCAAGATTTTATTTCGTTATTTTAACTTTTTTCTTTATATTTATTTTAATTTTTTATATTTATTATTTTCCAATAGTTATTTAAAAATTCTCAAGCGATTCGTTGCGTTTTTTGCTTTTATAAGTTTAAAATTTTTTATACATTTATAAACAAATTTTTCCACATGTGGCCGCAGTGTAAGTGCTTTAACAGACCAAACATATGGTGTAACGGCATAACAAAACAAAATATAGAGAATTTAAATTTGAAAAAATGTACAATGTTAATAAATATGGTAATAATAAAAATAATATAATCTTAAAAGAATATTAAAACCAAAATTAATTAAATTTACAAAAATAGCAGCAAACAATTTGTGCCACAAATTAATTAAAAAGCGCAATAAAAACTAAAAATAAATGCATAAATTAGAAGCTAATAAATTTCGAAATACACACATATGCACTTATGTATGTATATAGATATGTATTTGTATAATGTGCATATGTTTCAATGTACTTGTATGTATATATTTAAAAGAAGCATAACACAAAAATTAATTTAAACTAGTGAAAGAATGCCGAAAGCGGCAAATCCCATTAAAAAGCCCATTAAAAGGGAAAGTGACGTCAGGCTTCGTGGGCGCGCATAAACTGCTTGTAGAATGCCTAGCTCAGCTCAGTTGTTTACAACGCTGGTGGCAGGTTTTTAGCAGCAAGTGGGTAGGTCAAATAGGCGCCGGTTACAGTTGCAGTTATAGTTACCTTGAACGCCACTTTAGTGGTTTCCACAAAATATATTTGCACACATATTTGCTCAAACACTTGTTTTGTACGAATATTAATTTAATTTAATCATTTACTTACATATGTACAAAATACAAAAGTTTTTTGGCATTTTCAAATGCTCGCATACATTTTGTGGCATGAATATTAATGACAGCGCGAAAATGTGCAAGTAATATTCGTGTTTGATGAAATACCAAGTACGATTAGCAGGAAATTTACACACAGCATTTTAATAGATTAAGTGCTTGGAAAAACAGCACAACAACAGCAACAAGCGCAAAATGTAAATACAGAGTAATGATAATAAATTGTAAAGGCAAACAAAAGAAAAACTGAAAAAAAAACTACTAAACGACTCGTCACGCGATTGTCAGCGTGCGTTTGCTGCCGTTGTTGTTTTTGTATTATATGTGTATTTTTATTTGCTATAACATATTAATGGTAATGCTAGCGGCGAGGTTGGCTGTTTGCTCGTAATTTGGCGCAGATGTAGAGCGGAAAAGCGCACAAATGGATGTCACGTTTGCGCGCATCGCATGTGACGATAAAAAGCTTAGAGCGATTAATATTTGTATACACATAAATATGCATAGATGTATGCACATAAATATGTATGTATATATACTTATATTAATGCATGCATGCAAGCATTTAAATGTACAAATGCGCCGCCGTGGGCAAATGCAACCGATTTACTTTGTTAGCACACACTTATACGTATGTACATATGTACAAGGTATTCATGTACATACATACATATGTTTGCTTTGAGCACTTAGCTATTGAAATGTATGAGCAAACAATGGCACATTAATGCTTAGCGCGCTTTGATGGCGCGAAAAACGCTGTATTGGGACGCTTTAACAACAACTCAACATATTTTCAATTATAGTAGGGCAAAATTATTGTTAGCAGCAAATATACATATGTACACACGTGACACAATGTGATAAAAATTTGTGATTAAACAAAACACTTATGATAATCAAAGCGTATAAATTAAAAAAAAAAAAAAATACAAAAACCAAGCGCAAAAAAAAAAATACGAAAGAAACTGCAAAGGGGGGAAAAAAATAAAAACTTACGTATAAAAAAAAAAATTTACATATGTATGTATATCTGCATAAAATTTACAAAAAATTACAAATATTTTTTATTGCCTCTTCAACGCGTGCCAACAGTTGTTTTTGCTAATCATTTTTTGTCATTAATAGTTATAAAGCTTTGCATTACAATAATAGCTTATTTATGTGGGAAATAACCTGTTTTTGCATATACATTTCTGTTATTCTTGTTGTATGTATGCATTAAACACATTAAGTATTGTAGAAATGCATTTAAAAAAATAAATGCAGTGTTAAACTAACGAATTTTCAATATTTACGCAAGGAATGTGTTAAATTGCTTATTGTTTGTGTTTGTCTAGTTATCGATTACTCGTTGAGAGTTATCGCTGAATAGTGAGGTTTCTTTTAAATTTGTAAAGAAAATATATATTTTTTTTACAAATAACATAATTTTATGCATTTGACAATATTTTCAAAAATGTAATTAAAAATTTTTTTAAAATTCAGAATTTTCAAATAATTTTAAATTCTATTTTTGAAAAAAAAGAAATGCCGGTCTCGCAGCTAATTGTTTTTTCTACGAAATGGGCGACCATTGTAATCTAAGTGAATTTGACTAAAGACTTGCCTAGGGCGTTTTTGGTTAATTTAAGCCAAAAATTTCATTGCACTTCAAGTAACCTGCTTGCTGTGTTTATTTCTTTTACGACCTTCATCTTTTATGCGTTTTCGTCGACTTAAGAATTTTGACCAATTAGAGACGGAAACTAGACCTTTTTGCCTCTTCTCTTGCTGGCGCCTACTGCAAATTAAAACAATTTGAGTGCAGCATTATCTTTCTATAGCATGTGGAAAGCATCTGACAGTGCTACAATTATCACTTTTAAGACAATTATCCCCGAATTTCAGCAATTATACTGCCGTGTTAATCTTTTGTGTAGATAGTTTTGAGTATGTAGTTCAAATCAGAACCTTTCAATTATTTTTAGTACTATTTTAATTATTTTGTTTTTAATGCAAATTGGAATGTCTCGTCTAGTCTTCTTTTTGGAGTGCAATTTCTGCAAGTACGTTAGCAAATTCAAGCAGTTGCAACGAAATTATGTAGTACAACGAATATTCGTCATAGCCGCAAAGTGGCACCCTGCTGTTGTTGTTTAAATAATTTTTTGAAGAGATCAAACTTAAATATTTTCAAAAGATAAACAGTCTATTGCAATGAAGGTATCAAAAAATTGTAACAAAGTTTTTTGGATTAGAAATACTTTTGCGAAGGGTTGGCACTTGAAAAAAATCCAAAAAATTGATAAAATAAATCCGATACTGCAATATTGTTAGCAAATAACTGTTATTTGGGAAATTTTTATGTATGGAAGATTTTGATGTACCGTACATAATTGCTTTTGGATTACCAGTTCATACCAGTCCTCGAAATACGATAATAAAAAAATTATATTTTTAATGTAGATATAAATTTTTTTTTTAATATTCTACACACTTAGCTTACTGGTTATTGAATTTAAAATTTTCGACACACTCTGTAGAATTTTACCGTTGTCGTGCGCAATTTTATTATCTAATTTTGTGATATCTGGCTTAAAATTTTTTAGTTTGTATTTTTTGATGCTTTGTGGATCAATTATATCAAACACGCGCTCTATAAACCGTAACTTATTTTTTGTTTAAAATATTCTTTAAGACATCGGTCAGAAATACTTGGTATACCTAATTTTTAGTCAATTTAGGCTTAATTTGAAATAAATAATAATAAAGAACAATTTTTCTACACTATATGCAGCAATCTTTTTACATATCTACATACATATGTAAGTACATACTGCTAATACACATTGAAATCTGCGGAAATTGCAGCCTTGACTCATATATGTACATACATATGTACGTAACAATGCTTATAGCAACATATTTTGAAATAATAAATTAATTAAATGCCTATAAGTAAATTGTTCTCAATTGACTTGACTGCATTTCGATAACGATTCATATGTTGTTTTTTTGCTCCACCACAGCAAACGGTCACAATGTCAACGCGGCAACGGCATCTTATTACATTGGTGTTGTTGGTGACATTTCAAGGCTGTTTAATTACAATAATACAATCATTTTTATGGCGTCAAACGAACAATAAATAGATTTACAAATACATACATACTTATGTATGTACAGGCATATTATTTTCTTCTCCACACGCTTGTCAGATAAAAATTATTACACACTTTTTGTTTTTGCTTTTGTCCGCGCTTTGCTGAAAGTGCAATCGAGAAAGGAAAATGTGACGGCACTGATGGCGCCAGGCAATGTGCCATAATGATAATTACAAATGGCAAATGGAAAATAGATTTTATTGCTTGTAATTGCATGGAAAATTAATAAATGTGTTTGCAGGTGCATGTAATGGCATTTTTTATTGCATAAGTGAGTTTTTTATATTTTTTTAATGTGGCTACTCATTTGTTATGTATTATTGATCCAAAAATTACTATTCAATTGCGCTATTGTGATTTTGTCTACATTTTATAACCGTAACAAAAAGAAAACATGAATGAACTTGTTAAATTTTGTTTATTTACATTTGAAGACAAAAACATGAAAGCTGTTGTATCTTATAACGAAAAACAAACAAAACAAAATGAAAGTTATTATTGTTGTATTTTATAACCAAAAACCAAAACATGAAAGTTGTTTGTTGTTGTGTTTCATAAATAAAAACATAAAACATGAAATTTGTTGTTGTATTCTATGCAAATTAAATTGCTAATATAAATTAAAAATGAGTAATAATTGCTTTTGTATTGACTGAACGTGCCGATAAGCCGTACAAAGCAAACAACTGCAATTATTAATAAACAAAACAACAAAAAAAAACAATTAGCACTATTGGACTTTGTCACTGTGTATGAATAACCAGTAAACGAACGAATCATTCACAATAGACGAAAGGCAAATGCTTTGTTTATTTGCTTGCAAAGGTCAGTGTACGATCTATGGTGAATTTTAATTTGACTCAGCAGCCGCACCGATAGCGGTAGTTATCGCAGCTTTCGTTACCTCGCGCAGTTATTCTTAGTTAACAGCAAGTGGCAGAATTGGTCCATAGCTGTTGTATAGAATTAAATTTGAAAATAAACTCAAACTTTGACTTTGAAATGCTTGTTCAAGTGGCAAACTGGTTGTGGCGGCAGAGCCAGTGTGTGAGAGCTCAAGGTACGCGCGTATGCTTATGCAACAACAACAACTGCGGGTGTAACGCATTTACATACAACAACATGTGCGTTTGTTGTTGTCGGCAGTGACATTTCCAGCTAGCCGCCGTATGTTATTGTAATAGCAATAACAATAATAAGCGTAATAAAGGCTTGCAAATGACCTTGACTGGGTGGCAGTGAGACGCATTGTGTAAGGTTTTTGTTTATTTTTTTTTTGACATACATAATTTTTTTTTCGAAAAAGGGTGGTTTTGTTTAATATTTTCCGGTTTTTGCTTTGTTTGCGCTTTTAGCTAATTGAAATGTGATTTTATTTGCATATGAAATGTTTTGAAGTGATTAATTTGCATATGTATGACGTTTATATTTACATAAGTATGTATGCACATGCATACATAAATTTATATGGCTCGCGCGCATTTGCTACAAAATATTAATAAGTGGCAGCATAAATTAACAAAGCTAGGAGATTTTATGGAAAAAAATAATAAAAACGCAGACATGTAAGGAACAAACCTAACTTAAAAGCAAAAAAAAATATAAATACAGAAATTGAAGGCAAAAATGAAAACAAAAATTTTAAGCCTTTTTAATTTAAAAAAAATTAGACTTAAGTCCAAAATTTGTTAATTAAAAAATTCACAAACGTGATGTAGACTGAAAAATTTATGGTTAACTCTGTTGATATAATTACAAAATTCCACTTATATAAGTAAAATGTAAATACATACCGAGTAAAAAATGAAAGTTGGTAATCTATATTGCTAAAAAGTTGCAATTGAGTGCAGATTATTCAAATTGCCACAATTCATCACTCAATGAAACGCATAAATAAATTAATTTTTGTCCACTCGCCACCTTTCACTCGCCAACTAACATGTCTTTCACTTTCCTATCGCCAACAGATTAGAAGTCTCACGCAATTAGCTTCGAGCGGCAGCCCATTGCGGCGCGAAAACACCTTCACATCGGCCACAGCCCAACAAGTGACAGTCTTATCGTCGTCGCCATCGTCTACGGCGGCGGCGATACAAACTGCGGCAGCCATTAAGCTGCGCAGGTATAGCGATCGTTGTCTGACCACAGCCGAGGCCAAATCGCACACCTACCGCATCTCGATGGCCAATTTGGAGGAGACACAAGAGTCCGAACTGGACATGATATTGGGCGAGCTGAGCTTATTGGAGGCGCAAATTAATTGTGGCGATGCCGCTTTTCTACCCGGTTGCGGTGTGCCCGGTCCGCAGCAGCATGTAAATCAAACAGCCGGCCTGAACATGGTCACAGCACCGCCGACACGCACACATTCGCGCACAAATTCCACCATTTCAGGTGCCACAACTATTTCGTTATCCGGTTCGTCGGAGTGCGGCAGCAGCGCCACCACAAATTCGTTGGCCTCCTCCTCGGGCGTTTCGGAGAACGGACAGAGTAGCGTGGGCAGTGGTGGCAGCGTCAGCAGTGTGATGGGTGTCACTATGGTTGGTGTGGGCGGCGGCGGTGGTGTGGTGGGCATGATGCGCGAGCCGCGCACCGAGTCGCCGGACAATGATTCTGCCTTTAGTGATACGGTCTCGCTCTTGTCTAGCGAGTCGTCCGCCTCGAGTAGCGCTAGCTCGGCGCTGCATCACAAGCAAATGCAACAGTTGCAGCAGCAACAGCAGTTGCAGTATATGCAACAACAGTTGAGCGGCACTACGTTGAGCAGCAGCAAGGCGGCCAAGATACAGTTGGCGCTGCACAAGTTGGAGCATCCATCCATACGCAGATTGTTTGTGAAGGCGTTTACCTCGGACGGCGCTTCGAAGTCGCTGTTGGTGGATGAGCGCATGACATGCGGTCATGTAACACGTTTGCTGGCCGATAAAAATCACGTGCACATGCAGGCCAATTGGGCGCTGGTGGAGAACTTGGGCGATCTGCAAATGGGTGAGTACTTGTGGCACATTTGTGATGATTTTATTTTACCGTTGTTTTGTTATGCCCACTACAGAGCGTCTCTTCGAGGATCACGAGCTGTTGGTGGATAATTTGATGACTTGGAATTCGGATGCGGGCAATCGTGTGCTATTCCAGCAACGCAGCGACAAGATATCGCTTTTTGCCAAACCGGAAATCTACTTGCCGGGACCACAAATGGCGCCTGGCAGTCAGCATGATGAGCATACACGCGCTATGTTGTTGGAGGAGTTCTTCGAGACCAACTCACAGCTGCAGGTAGATGGTCCATTATATATGAAAGCCGATTCGAAGAAGGGTTGGAAACGTTATCATTTCGTGTTGCGCTCCTCCGGCCTCTACTATTTTCCGAAAGAGAAAACGAAGAACACACGCGATTTGGCTTGCCTCACGCTCTTTAATGGCTACAATGTGTATCGTGGTTTGGGCTGGAAGAAGAAATGGAAGGCGCCAACCGATTATGCGTTCGGCTTTAAGTCAGCTGTTGACTCGTCATTGGGTAAGACATGTCGTACATTGAAAATGCTGTGCGCTGAGGATTTGGAGACGATGGAGAAGTGGATCACGGCCATACGCATTTCGAAATATGGCAAACAGCTATGGGATAGCCACAAAACACTTATGGATGATCTCAGTTTGGGTGATGTGATGTCGCAGAGCAGTTTCGGTGTGTCTATGCGCAGCGAATCGATTAGCAGCATTTCATCGGCTGTTCCCTCACAGTGCGGTAGCGTTTCCTCCGCCGTTTCGAGCATGTCCAATTCGAGTGGGCGAGTTTCACGCGCCAGCTCATCTTCATCAAGCGGCTGCCTCTCTGATGACAATAACGGCTTCGACTCGGAATTCACTACGGGCACCATTAAGCGTAAACCTTCGATGAAACCCAATTTACCGCTGACCACAATGACGCGTCAGCTGAAGGAAGTCGGTGAGATAACAATTTGTGAGAGCAGCGGCGCTGATGTGCAGGACGCCACCTCACCTGAACGCAGCGGCACGTTAACGCGTCGACACAGTCGCCGCAAATCGCAAGAGAGCAACGGTAGCGGTACACTAAAACGGCGCCAGCCCACAGCGGCGGTGGCCAAACGCGGTTCAGCCGAAAGCATGAACGCAACCGCTTGCAATTCATCTGGTTCCTCCAATTCGACACCGACGCCGACGCCCAGCATTTGCGCTAAGCCGCTGCTGGAATATGAAGCGTCGCGCACCACACCCGTCAACGATATGGCCGGCGTCACAAACTGCATGTCCTCATCGACACTCTCGCTAGATTCGCTGCCGCCACCTCCACCACCGCCGCCAATCACCGATGAACACGAGATTTATGGTTCACAGCTGTCGCTGGTCTCATTACCACCACCGCCGCCACCAGAAGATGTTATGGTATATCCACAACCGCCACAGGAATACGCGTGCGTCGGTGGCGCTAAGTCGAACGGCATGCCGCCGGCGGTGCCTGCGAAGCCGCAAAAATCACAGCAAACGCCGGTCAAAGGACCAGCGCCACCCTACAAGGCGCCACCAGAGTACGTGGGGCAAGCGCACAATCAGCATATGAACAACAGCATTAACAACAGCGGTATTAATGCTGCTGTGGCTGCTGGACTGCCACCGCCGCCGCCAGCAACGAGTACCGGCACACAAAAGAAAGTCTCCTTCGCCGATTCGCCAGTGTTGTTGCGTCGCAAAATGTGCTCACCCGAGCCGCCCGTTTGTGTAATGCAAATGCACGCACCGCCCATTTATGGTTACGCGCCTTGTCCGCTGCCACCGCCACGCGCCGATATGACGCGTCTCTCCACGAATTCTTCGAACTGCAGTTCCATAGACTTTGGCTCACCGAAGCGTCTGCAGGAGTCCACCTCAAATCCGCCGCGTGACTTTCTTAAAGATCTGCAGCGCGTGATGCGCAAAAAATGGCAAGTGGCGCAAAAGTGCAAACTGGAACCGGCTACAACGCCGCACGAAGTGCTCGGCTTTCGCGATTTCAACGATGAGTTGCACAATTTGAATGCCTCCGCCACCACACACTACTACCGTGAGACGGCCAATGTGAGTAATTGGGTGCAGGAACATTATGGCGCTGGCGCACCACCGCCGCCACTCAGCGAGTATGCGCTTTATGAGAATTTGCATGCGAATGATGCGCCGAACGGCATGGGCGGTACAGCGGTCATGATGGAGCCGCAATTCCCTATGAGCGGTGCGGCGGTGGCTGCAGCAGCGGCACAACGCAAGAAGCGGCCACCGCCACCACCACCCAAACGCAGCGATTCGACGCAGCTGACGCACAGGGTTTAGGGATGTGGCGGAGGCCAACGTCGCCGGCATTGGTTTCTGTGCGGTTGGTAAAATATGGGTTTGAGGAGGCTGCCTAAATGCCTGTTAGTGTTGCAAAGTGCAAACGAAAAAGCGCGAACATAGAAAGTATGAGCCCCAAAAAAAGGTGGAGAGATTTATGTGCTAAGCTTAGGAAGGGTTTAGAACCTGTGTGTGCTGCGCGGCCAGTTGCTAAGCGAATTGCGGCGGCAATAGACACAAAATATGTCCTTTTTATGTAGTTTATACATCAGCTATATATAAAATTAACAAATTTTTATATATATTTACATGCTTATATATACATACATATATGGACGTCTATTACTTAAGATTTACATACATATAGGCATACATGCTTAAGAAAAAAGCGAGTTTGCGCGCAACATTTTTTAGGTTAAGATAATAAAACGCTACTTAAATGCTTTCAAAATGTCTACGCCTAGGAATTGTACAATATGCCATACTACTTGATTGAAGCGGGAAAGGGAAGGTAATTTGCTAAGTGAGACACTCCAGAATGAATCAATAAAATAAGCAATATAAATCTCAAACAATTCTAACTGCTTTTTATCATAACGGAATTTTAGTATCTCATATTTTTTTTTTACAAAATTTAAATTTTTTGTAAACTCTACACAATGCTCCACTAAAACTATTAGCTACAAAAATGCAAATATACGTAAAAGCGCTAAAGCAAATGCGTACAAATGCCAAGAAATAAGATTTTAAAAACTCTACACAACTCTCCACTCAGTTTTCTAGCTAGCAAAACCCAAATACACGCAGAATAGCTTGCAAAAATGTGTATAAACGCTATGATTTAAGTTTTGTAAAAAACTCTACACAACTCTCCACTAATTTTTTCGCCGTTTAAATTTTTGTATGTAACTTAGGATTTACAAAATCACTTAAACATATTAGCTTCATAAAATATTCATGAACTCTCCACTTTTTATCCTTCACCTGCATTAGGCAAGCAATACTGCGCAAACTAGAAATTAATATGTCTTTTATATCTTCACGAATTTTATATTTTAGCAAAAATTTTTAAAAGAAATTTAAAATTTGTTTAATTCTAAAAAAATAGAATTATAAGCAAATTTTTTTATTTCGAAATAAGTATAAACTAAACAAATATTTAGTACTTTAGTATTATTGTACCAAAATGGCAAATCTACACACATTTGTCGATTGCCAGCAGCATGTAATGCAAACTTGAACCGCTGAATTTCATTTCATCTTACTGTAAATGTAAGTCTACACTTAGATGTGTGTGAAAAGTTTTCGAACAAAGTTAGGAAGTAGTTTATTTGTAATAATGCTTGAAATGAAATCTAACGCCTTACGATTTAGAAGCGAATATTAGCGTTTAGTTTTTAGTGTAAAAATTTAAAAAAATAAGAATTTCTTATTGTTCAATTGGCGTCTATAAACTAAGTACAGTATGTATGTACTTATTTAAGTGAAATTCTTAAAGGAATATATGAAATGAAATAATTAATATTATGAATTTTTAAATTTTGTAAAAAAAAATTAATTTAAAAAACACCGCTTTCCAAAAAATTTATTTGTGTGTAAAAATTAATTATAATAATAATATGCTAGTAATAAAATTGTTCCTAAGCAAAAGCATTTCACTTGAAACATGAAAAATATAGATAAAGCAAAAATAAATATTGAACAAAATAATTTAAAAAATATTTAATGGAAATTGAATTTTAAAAAGCTAAACCGATTGGGCAATTAAAAAGTTTTTATAAATATATATATATGTATTTATATTATATTATATTCAGTTACAAGCTTATAATTCAGCAATTTTGTAAAAAAAATATTTAAAATTGTAAAAAAATAGGTTTTGATTTTTCTCGAAGTAACTGCTAAAATACGCATTGTAAAATTTAGTTATAGCGCTTGTACAGTATAAAAAATAAAAAAAAAAATAAAAAAATTAGAAAAGCAAATAAATAAATAAACTAAAATTCTGCAAAAGTATCAGTGTTCCCCGCTTTTTTTACTATAAAATGCCTCGTAGCAATTTTAGTGCGTTGCAAGCAAAAGTTACTCTCAAACAAATACTAAATAAATCAAATATTATAAAGTTAATTAAACTATACATAAAAACGCTAAATAAATAAATGATTAATAAATTTTGCTAAATAAATGAAAATTGCTAAGTAAAATAAAGCAATATGCGAAACATTTATTTTTTAAGGCGTCAAAAATATTTATGTAAAAATCTATAGTTTTGCATAATTTGTTGTAGTAAAACACTAAACTATAAAATAATTTTATAAAAAAAAAATATTTATTGCATAAAAAAATGTAATTGTATACCAGAGATGTTTGTAAATGCCATACAAAAGCAGTTTATCGAATATTATACCGCAACTACTTATAAAAAAAAAATAATAATAAATAAATAAAAATAATTATAGACATAAAAAAATATTTACTAAATAAAAAGTAAGCATGCGTGTGCGCCTTTGTTGTATCTCAAATATTTGTTTTTTTAAGAAATAAATTTTATTTTGTGTAAATTCAACTTTTCGTTTCATTATTTTATTTTATTTTTGCAGTTAATGTGAAAATTTAAATATTTTAAGCTATGTATAGTTTTGAAAAATGGTAACTAAGTTTTTAACCATGTCAGCGTATTTTTAAAAAAATTCTAAGCATTAGCCAAATAAAAAAAAATTCTCTAATTATATAAAATACATATATAATATATTTTAAAAATTTATAATATATAAAAATTTCAAAAATTTTAACAATTTAAAATTTGAAAATTTGTATCAAAGTTTTTAGCCATGTCAACGTATTCTTTAAAAATTCTAAAAATTAGCCAAATTTAGAAAATTCGAAAATTATAGAAAACACATATTTGAATAGCAAAATTTCAAAAATCTTAATAATTTCAAAAATTAAAAATTTGAAAATTCGTACAAAGTTTTTAGTATTCTTAAAAAATTCTAAAAACTAGCCAAATTTAGAAAATGTTAAAATATATTTAAATAGCAACATTACACAATTTCAAAAATTTTAAGAATTTCAAAAATTTAAAATTTCATAATTTGTAGCAAAGTTTTTAGCCATGTCAGCGTATTCTTTAAAAATTCTAAAAATAGTCAAATTGAAAAGCTTAAAAAATTCTAAAATTATAGAAAATATATACATATGTATATCAAACATACAAAAAGGTTTTGAAAATTTGAATGAAAGAAAAGTGTTTATGCTGACAGCCAGGGTTGCAAATAACACATAAAAAAATATGTGAAGTAACATTTGCATTAAATTTTTTTTTTATATTTTGTGCTCTAAAAAAGCTTAATAAAAAACATTTTTTAAATTTTTAGTCCCAAATACCGTTTTGAAAAAAAAAATCATTCCAAAAGTCTAATTAAAACTTTGTTTCTAATTTGTAATGCCAAAGACCGGATTGAAAAATAATTTTATTTCCAAGCATATAATTATAAACTTAAAAAATAAATTGTTTCGGAATTGAAATTTTTTCGCGTTTGCGTACTTGAAATTCAAAATCAAATTTTATAATTTCAAAATTTTTTATATTATATAAACATTTTTTAAAGTACTGCGACCAGCCAAGATCTGAAAAATTTAATTTTGAGAATTACATTTTTTTTAATTGGCAGGCAATGTAAGTTTTTTTGAGGAAATATTTTTTTTTAATTTAAAAATATATATATAAATTAGAAATATTTTTTTTTAATTAAAAATAAATATATAAATTAAAAATATTTTTTTGAAATTAAAAAATATATTTGTTTTTATTTTTTAATCTTTTACCACTTTTTAAGATTTTTTTTATCAATAAGCAAAAATTATATAAAATTTTTAAATATTTTCGATTTTAAGGTATGATTTTTTAAAGAAAATTTTTTTTTCATTATTTTATACGGAAGAAAGCAAAAAATTGGCTATACGAAAATTAAAATATACAAAATTGTTTTGAATAAACATTTTACGTTACTATTTTGTATTTTATATACATATATTTTATTAAACAGTATTGAAATAAAAATTGTACTAACTTTTTTTAACACAGCATGAAATAAAAGCAAAATTATTTATGCAGAAAAAATTGGAATTTCATTGGACTGGTTTTTTTTGGAGTTTTTAAAAATTATTTTTTTTTAATAGGAATTGTATGAAAATTTTTGAAATTTTGTACATGCTGGCATAGTTAGCACTTCCAATCGATATAATAACGAAAATTATATTAATACAAACATTTTATTTCGAACTTTTTAAATAAAAAAATATAATTTTTAGTTTTTTGAAGCTAATTTGGTAAACAATTTTGATTACTAAATGTATTTTTTTTAAGGTTTTCATAAATCTTCTAAATACAATTTTTAAGCGTAAGAAACCAAAACCGCTACAAAACAGTGGAGAAATATCAAAAATTTTAAATTTATTTGAGTATTTATAGCACCTTTTTATTAAAAAAATAATAATAAAAAAGTTTTTGAAAATGTTTAAAAGTTTTTTCTAAAATAATAAAAAGTTTTGAATTTATTTCAGAATATATAAAAATGTTCTCTTAAAAAAATTAAAATTTTCGTATTTAATTGTGAATTTAACAACACTTTTTGCTAAAAAATTGAAGTTTTTGATATTTTTTGAGAATTTATAAACAATTTTTACCAAAAAAAATTTGGTTGAATTTATTTAGGAATACTTAAACATTTTTTTACCAAAAATAGTTTTTTGAATTTTTTTGAGATTGAAAAGGAAAGGGGAAAAATGTGTGGCAACCTTCCAGCTGCTTGACATAGCTTAAATTATATTAATAATAGATGTAATATGAAAATTCAACAAAAGTTTTAAATAAAATAAAATTTTATATGAAATAAAATGGAAAATATAAAACTACAGCAGCAAAAGAGCACTCTTCATTAACTTTTTTAGGATTTCATGTAGTTTTAAGGCATAAATAGTGTGACAATTTAATAATTATACATAACAAAAAAAAAAAATATTAAAAAAAACATAACTTTTATAACATAAATTTTAAAATTTTTATAAAAACTGAAATTTTTCTCCATGCAAACATTCCTATCAGTGAAAGGAAAACAATAAAAATAAATTTAAAAACGTCTTCAAACAACCAATCAAGCATAAAAACCAGCCGTTAAACGAGTGCAAGATAAAAAACTTACAACTTTTGATAAGAAAATAGAATTTATGGCAAGTGAGCGAAAAATATTCGTACTTCAAGCAAGACTAACAATGAATGATAACTCAAGCAAACAGAAATGTAAACAACTCAAGCATGTGGGCAGAAAATTCTATAAGCAAAAATGTTTGAAACAATATTATAAAAACCTTTTACTAAGAAAACCACTAAAAAATAAATATTCGGATTAGAAAAGAAAACAAAAAAAAATTTTGAATAAATTAACAAACAGATAACCATGATTGTCAAGCAACATGTTGTGGAAATTTTATGACATAATCAAAATCTAGGGAAAAACGAAAATTGTTTACTTTCAGAAAGCGAATTTACTTTGAAAACTCAGTTGAGACGATATTAAAAGCAACAACAAACAGTAATCAATAAAAAAGTTATCAAGCAAAAAAACCAAATCAAGCAACTTAATGGCCAAGTAAATAGGGAAACTAAAACTACAACCACATAGTCTTTAACTTACACTTTTTGATACTACGGATGTAAATTTTAAAGCAGAAACTAAGCAAATATGAGAGTGAATACAAACA